GTTTCTGTAAATTGAGTTGCATATCAAATTGACAATAAAACGTTTTCTTAAAACAAAGAAATGGTTGTCCTTGTTTATTTTCAGCTGAAGCTAATTTATTGTGATGGCATTGAGAGAAGCAAAGACAAGTTTTGGAGTGAAAGAACTAGCCACCCCCCCCTTTTTTTTTTCTTCAGATGAAGTCAACAAAAGTAGCCAGATTGTTGATTTTGTGAACAACTTTAAACGGCAGTGAAACTTCCAAAGTTAAAAGTCCCCGAAGTCATGACATGGGAGGAAAATTGTACCGCGAAATTCAAAGTTTGAATTGTGTCATCAGACAAGAATTCACGTTTCACTTGGAAAGGCCTGATCTTTGTTCCGACTTATTTCCCCCCGCCTTCATGTAATGCCACCACAGTAGAGGTAATACCAGAGAAAAGGTCTGACCTCAGTGTAGGAGCAATCAAATCTCGATTACCTGCTAATCAATTTGCTGTAAGCACAATGGCTAACGTCAATGTCCAGAGAGGCTTGCAACTGTTTCCAATCCATTACACGCATGAAAGGCGGTTTTTAGTTGTAGTCGATCGCGATGTCCACGACATCTCTTTCATCATGCCAATGAATGTGACTTAAAAATCACATCTGAAGATCATCGGGGTTTCATGATGGAGAATAAATGGACTTTACCTGGTTGGTGAGCGAGCATTATGCTTTCGATTCAACTTTAGAGGTTCCACTGTGTATATGCCATGCAAGCTGCACCCTTAAAAGCACCTTTTGAATTGGATACATTTAACATAAGAAGAGTGATGTCATAGTATTTTGTATTATCAGTCTGGTAAATAGGGGAAGACGCTGTGTCAGAGGAAGCTTTAAAAGGAGTAAAGAATCTCTCCGTGTGCCACAGGGAACCAGGCACCCTTGGGAGGAGGGTTCGGCAACCCCTTTGCCACAGCAGTGGGCACTAGTTTGGGCTCGACCACTTTGGGAGGTATTACCTAAGCTTTTTTTTCTCCCCCGCTTCAAGTTTGATAGCAACGGTGAGGTAGCAGTGTTGAGTCTGAGCTTGGCTAATCACTTTCGCCTTCGTGTATGGCATAAGTGCGTTCACACCACCAGAAAGCCGCTCCTGTTTTTATCCGGCTTTGGACTGTCCGCTATTCTGAAAGCATACTCCATACAATTACAAACGCAAACCACTAACCTAAATTGGAAAGTGGTCTGAACGCACACCAAGCGGCGGAGTCTGTTGAAATTCCCTTTTTCTCCCTTTGGCCCTCGCTTTGCCATGCCTGTATGCTTTCGATGCAGCCCGTGCTAGCTTGTGCAGGCTCATCCAAGTCAAAGCTGTGCTCCTCAGGGTTTGACTGACTGCCGTTGTCTCACTCTCCCACAGGTTTTGGTGCAGGGCCAGGATTTGGTGGGGTGGGGACTGGGGGTTCTTTTGCCTTCGCCGCCACCACTAAGCCCACAGGAGGCAGTCTGAGTGCAGGTACATGTGGACTGTAACTCCTCATGCATGATTCGCGAGCATGAAGGACACAGGCTGTGTGGTTCTCTTGTGGAGGACGGTGTGTGTGTGTGTGTGTGTGTGTGTGTGTGTGTGTGTGTGTGTGTGTGTGTGTGTGTGTGTGTGTGTGTGTGTGTTTTTCTCTCTCAATTCTGGATCACTGCAATTCATTTAATTGAACATAACTCTTACCGCTACGATGACAACACCAACATAGGTTTCCAGCACAATGCCATCTATTACGTTAAAAATAACTAATACGTTAAAAATAACTAATACGAGTATTTGTGGATAGCAGCTGAATTGCATAACGTGTTTAAAAAAAATACACTCGACCTCACATAACCGCTTGGTGTGCAGTCCACTGAAATCAACACGTCCGCAAAGAAACATGCCCCTTGCCTTGTTGGTAGAGAGCATTTAGTTCAACTGATTTACCGAAATGTGATTTTGATATGAATGCAATGATCACAACAGTACAATCTACTAAAACTCTAACGCCTTGTTACAATACATGATGTACACAAAATTGTTGCGAACCTAGTGCAAAAGAAAATCTGACAGTGGTCACCAAAATAACTTGAAACCGACCAAAGTGGTGACACATGGAGGAGGCTTGGTTATGTTCTCGAGCTGCTTTGCTGCATCGGGCACCAGGGTGTCTTGAATCTGCAGGGTACGATGAAATCACAACTCTTTGCTTTTCCAGGTTTTGGTGGGACCAACACCTCAGGCTTTAACTTCAGCAACCCTGGTATCAACCCCTCGGCCGGACTGACCTTTGGCGTGTCCAACGCGCCTGCTGCCGGCTTCGGCACCGGGGCGCCTCTGCTGCAGCTCAAAAAGCCACCCGCCGGCAATAAACGGGGCAAAAGATAGAAGCAAAGCAAGACCCACGGAAGCTTGTGATTGAGCAGTTGTCAACCTTGGGCTTTGTAGCTTTTTTTTTTTTTTTTTATGCCCGATTTCCTAAAATGTGTTTTAGCACTGGAAATTGGTCTGGGAGAATCCCGAGCCATTATTGTCAACTGCCTCCTTCCATTCCATTTTTATTTTAACTTTGATGTTTTGTCTGATAGAATGACTCATACAAGGACAATAATGACATAATTTTTATGATAAAGCCCCATTCATGATCTCGGACCAAATCCATTCTTGGCATTTAACAAAATGTTAAACATGATTTACCACATTGCTTTTGGAAAGGTCATTTTGGCATTCTGAGTTTGGCTAATTTTTGTCAAGCTTTGCTGACGTTGGCCAAAGTTCCATCCAGAGAGTTGAGTTAGGTTTAAGAGAAAGAGCCGGCCAGAGAAATAGTTGGCCACGTAAGAGTCCAGCGAGACATACTTTTATTTTTGTAACAGTAGGTAAGATAAAAAGCGAAAAGCATCCTGATAGTCACTCAGTCATGATAACATTTTTTTTCGCTTAAGCATTTGTAATTTCAGTGACCGAGACGTGCTATGTATTTCAAGATAATTAAAATCTTAAGACATGCGCTGTGCAGAGTTATCATGCAAAACCTTTGTCCTATGACTGCTAATGTGCATGTGTACAGTTGAAAATTATTTTCTGTTCAAGTTTTTTCCTTCTTTTTTTTTTTTTTTGTCGATGTCCAAGTCCATGGTTACTGGTTGTTGTAGTTCTATTTTCAAATGACTATCTGTATGACTATTTTCAAGAACTTATTTCATAATAAAAAAATAATAATTCAGAATGTTTTGCATATTTGCGGCATCACTTAAATAAATGTTAAGAATTATTTGTTTGCGCATGCGTGTGTGTGTGTGTGTGTGTGTGTATATATATATATATATATATATATAAATACAGAATATAAATTGGGTAAATTGTACTGTTTCAATGAGTGCGTTCTGACGGGTTTGTTTGCAAGACGCAGTACTCACTATAACAGCAAGGGGCGGTGTTGTGCCGAAGAGCTGACAAGCGCCTCTAAAGAAGAGGACCGCACTGCCCGTCGCTAAGCAACCATGCGGCAAATTAAGACGTCTGGCCCAGACGAAACGAGTTCAAAGATTGAAAGATTTAAAAAGGTTTTATTATTTTCTTGTCGAGGTTTCTCGATCACTAATAGTCCTGTTAAAATATCTGCTCATCTATTTAGCAAATTGAAACGTTTAGTTATAATGTAAGTCCTTGTTTTGACTGCTTTGTTTTGCGCTACAGTGCTTTAAGTTCACAGTACAGCCTGAGTATTAGCACCTACCGTTCAGGACCCACTGTACTTTCAAGTGCGTTGTCTTTGTTTCGTTCAGCGTTAAACTCGTGGTCTTTAAAATGCAAATAGCAGGCACGATACTTTACCCAACGAATTTCTTTTCAAAGTCGTTGAAGGCTTGTTTTATGTTGTCTTGAGAGGGAAGACATTTCATCTGTGCAAGCACATTTGACAATAAAGTTGTACTTGACTTCAGTGTGTTATGCCAGCTGCTTCTTACCAATCATCAGGGATAATCAATATGAGCAAACGTGTACATGACATCACCGACGAAGTGTTGTTTACCAAGGTGCTCGTCGTATTGATCAAAAGTATTTCGTTACGTAACGAGACGGCCACCCGGATGCCCGCTTGTGTACTTCCGCTTCAATTGTACCCCGTGTAACAGCGCGGCGCTTGAAGTAAGTTCTGCCTGAATCGTTTCGCTTATGGTGGTCGTCGCTCATTGGAATGCGTTTGTGTTTGCAGCCATGCCTCCTCCAGAGACCACGTTCTGTTCCCAGCAAATCAACATCCCGACGGGACTGCCGGAAGTCCTCAAGAACTTCACGAAAGCGGCCATCCGAACTCAGCCCAAAGACCTGCTGGTGTGGTCTGCAGCGTGAGTTCACCTGCGATTCGCTGTCAGGTGTATGCTTGATAAGAGTGACGCCCTGCGTCCAGCATCACTGCACAAAAAGCCCCTTTCGACTTCTGCGACTCACATTTGCCTTGATTTGGCTGTCATTGGATCCCACGAAATTCTTTGTCACTGGCCCTTGACAAATAAAAGACACCGAAAGAATGGCAATGATTATGTGTAACTGCACCAGTCTATTACCGGCGATTGGAACTTAGCCACGTTTACCGAAATTGAAATGAGTTATGTAGTGAAACTAAATCATTGTAATGTATCATTAGCTATAAAATACGTCACCATCCTGACGTGGAGCCTGGCTGTCAAGTTTTATCGTGGGCGACACACTAAGAGAAGGTCATTTGACAAATTTGCGCGAATCCAATCACCATCGGTTACACCGGCACAATTGAGCAAGCGTTGAAAGGGGCGGTGCACATTCCCAAAATCCATCCCAATTGTTCCAATTTTAAAAACGCAATATCCCATACAAAATAATGTAAAAGGAATTCATTTGTGCTGGGTCCAAACTGTCACCCATAAAAACCAATAATATATGTGTATATATTTATTGAAAACCAAAGTACAATAATGAGGAACTTATTTTATTGTCATACCGTGCAAGGACAAGATGTTGAGGGGCGGGGTGGGGCGAAACAACCTTTTTAATGAGGACTTCAAAGGCATACACTGCCACGTTTTCTCACAGCTTTGATAAATGTCACTCAATGACTATTGTTCAGCAAAATACAATGTCAAATATATTATAGATACATTATGAGAGAGTCTATAACCCCAAACACTACCGAAAGCTTCTGTGCTTTGCTCATGTTTGTTCAGGGGAAGTGCATCTTGCGTCGCCGCCACAGAACAAATCTTTGTGAGGTGAGGATGTGCGTGACGACACTGAGCAACATCAGGAAGATGGTCATCGACATCACGATAACGTAGTGGCTGATGCTGTGCGGGACAAAGAGAAAGTACGTTTTGCCTGTGTCAGTCCAGTATATGCAACTTTTCATATTTGACATCATTAAAACTAAACTCAACGTGGTTTCAACCATTCTAAAGGAAACATTTCTGACAGCATTTGACACCCAAGGACGTTTTAAGTGCACTTGTAGCTACACGCTCCCTACTGAGCCAGGTTACCTTGTGCCAATCTCTAACCAGGTGCCATAGTCCTGCACGAGGAAGAAAAAGTGCTGTGGAAAAGAAACGGCAACGGTTTGATTTGCCTTGGGTAGAAAAGTACGCCGCACATTTGCAGTTTCTACATGGCATCCGAATGTAAATCGGGAGATTTTACCAGAGCCATCACGTCAGAGATGACCAAAACGATCAGAAATAAGCTGTAGATAGAGAGAGAATTTGTTCTATTAGTCAGTCAGCTTCAAAAGTAAAACGTCCAAGAAGTGCGCATGTTGTGGTTACAAGCGGACAAAAAGAAATTAATACGTACCTTCTCGATGGCAGCTGTGTTGTCACTTGGATCGTCTCAAACGTGCACATTACGATTATGAATGGAATGATGACCTAGGAGACCAAAAGGGCAATAGTGGTCAAGATTGATCGGAAAGCAAGTTCAAAGCTTCCTGCGTCAGTTACCTCACCTTCCACATCATCAACCCTCCCATGATGAAGGGGTTGAAGACCGTGAGGAAACAATAAACCGACGTTGGGTCAAAACTGAAAAAAAAGGGAAAAGAAAGATTTAGGACAAATGACCAATTTAGAGTTGAAGCATCTATTTGAACCAAAGTGTGTTTTCTATGCACTTATGAAACAGTCACGAATTGGCATATAACTGCATAAATGCCATGCCTTCTGACACGGAGACGTGCTGAATTTAACGATGAAAGAAGTACGTTGGTTTCCTTTTAAGGATTAGAAATGCCATTCCGTCTGTTCAAACACATACCTGTTAATGGACGCTATGTTCCCTGTGCCAAAAAAAGCCACGATGATGAAAAAAACCTGAGCGCCGTATGAGGTCAAGGACAACTTCGTGGCAGTTGTTGCTGCATGCTTTGCCTTCGCTACACTCTTGCAAACACCATGAAGGATACAAAGAAATAGGAGCGCCGAATGTCATCTAACTTGAGCTGACGAATTTTGGAGATGTCAATGTTGGCGGAGAAATCGATAGTGGAGAGCTGGAAGACATCGGAGACAGCATGTATTTTCACACATCTTGCCTTACGTCGATATTTTATTGAGTTCTTGTCGCCATTCAGTTCGAATCTTCCATCATTCAGTGCAATTCTAGTCCAGTATGTGGAAACTGCAATTTTGGAATTTGCAGGAAATGGCACTCAACATTAAAGACACGAGTCCCTTTCCAGAGTCATCACTCAACATCTGCTCGGAAATAAGTTGGAACTGTAACTTTAACCAGTCTGCTTTGCAATTTATTGTGGAGTGAGGAAGGAGAAAGAAACGGTCTGGATACCTCTTGCCTTCCAGAGGTGCCCTCAGCGATTGTTGCTTCCTGTTCAATGTTGATCCACACAAACATCAACCAAGATAACACCGGAGGGAACAAGGCCTCGGCCCTGGGTTAGAAATTATGCATCTGGTGATGGTTTATTCACAAAAGAATCCCAATATATGCATGAAACTTGTCTGTTCCGGCGTGAATGCGCCTCGGTGCGCACAGCAACTTGCATCAAGGAAGGGATGTGGACGAAACCCCAAACCCATCTACTCCAAACAGAATTTATGATTTCAACTAGCGGCACGTGTTTGTAGTTCTGGTGTAGAACGACACACTTACCTCATGTCACAAGAATAATTGTATGCTGTCTTACCCAGTGCTAAGCAGAAGGTATGTGGCTGTGAGCGAGAGGAATACGCTGAGGAGCCGGTGAAACAGGCGTGTAGAGCTCATCAAGGGAACAGGTATGGAAGAGGCTAAAGAAAGCAGTATGGTAAGATGTGGTTTTTTTTCTACTTTCTTTTTACGAAAAACCAAAGCAAATGCGCGTTCTCAGTCACATCCCACCTACCTAATGTGACCCAACTGATGAGCTGAGCGAGAAGGGGCAGCCCCCGTTTCTGCTGCAGGCTGGAGTGTGTGAAGAACGGCACGCATGCAGACACTGCCACATGCAGCATCTGTTCAGTGACACCCATTAAAGTGTGCCTCGCTGAGGCCAGCTGCATTCACACAAATGCAGTCATGCACAGAACATAATTAGCCACAGCTACCTGTATGACAAGCTGCTGTTTATCACGAAGGAGGAGTGATGTCCTGTTCCGTGATGGCCAGAGGAAACACACTGATAAAAACAGAGTGAGCAGACCAGCACAGATCCTAAGAAAATAAGTAGGGTGCTGCATTATTTGTATTCTTATCAGGAGGATATTGATTCAACAATGCACTTTATTGTAGTGGTTGAAGCATCATATACTCACACCAGATTTGTATTGGACTCTCTTCCCACCACAGGCATCAGGGGGAAAGCAGCCAAGCAAAGGCAGCCCAGAAACCAGTTCACTGAGCAGCACTAGAAAGCGATAATGATCAGACAAGCTCATCAAAATGAACTACACTCACCAGCAAAAACGTGTGCAATACAGGGTTTCAGTTGAAAAAAAAAGAGAGTAGTCATCCTTTTGACTTTTCATAACGTGGTTTGCGGTGGCGCAGAACAGTGCCAAATCCTGAGACGCTCCCTTTGGAACTATAACCGTTTATCCGGAACCGACATCAGCATTTTCTAATGATGCTTTGTGATCAAAGAGGCAAACGTACACGATATCACTATCTATCCCACCTTAGCCTTGTCAAAAAGTCCTGACAGCATCGGCCAGAGAGACAGGACAGCCAGGCCCACAGTCAGCATGGCGCGATGAAAGAAACTCACCACCTGGGGACAGTCGAAGAACAGTTTGAAACCTTGATGCCTCGTTGCATTTACAAGAAAGTCGTCGGGTTTACAGTTTTATGAACACTGACCAGCAGTTCAATGCCGAATGCTACCAGCACAAAGTAGCCAAAGCATTTCCACAGCGGCAGGGACGGAGCCAATTTAATCAAATCTGTTAGTGTGTTGGACCTACAACGGAAAATGAATGCTATTATGACTTTCTGCAATGAAGGGGAGGTAATGACAAACACAGTCAGTGCCTTTTACTCTTATCAATGAGCATCGTAAGTCTATACAGCCTGAAAATTATCATTGTAACATCCGTGTAATTGTGAGGCAAACTAGCCTATTGGATGTTGTGAGCCATTTTACTTTTGAGCATGTACCGCATTCTCTTTTCACTCTCTGAAGAATGATCAATATAAATAGTCTGAACCATGGTTTTGCACATTTGTTTTTGGGGGGAGGGAAGGACACTCACTCTTTAAAAACAGAGTACCACACTGGCACCGGCAACAGGCAGTAAATATAGTATGTGAGTGGACTCCTCTGGATGAGCAGGAATATGCTGATCACCACGGTGACGCACGCACTCAGCCTCACCAAGGTACGATCCGGCTTCTGTGGATGCAGAAGTCAACCATGTAGCTCAGAAACGTAGTGAGTGTTTCTAATTGGATTCAAACATACTTGTTTGAGTATGTCAGGATGCATGTTAAGACTTGTATGAGTCTTCAAAATAACGAGGACAACATATGAGGTCCACCCCACAAATCCCAGCACGACGCTGCAACCCAAGGAAAACCGGTCGTAGGTGTGGTAGTAAACCAAGCCTTCAAGGGCATTGGATATTAGAGCCTGGCAGAGTGAAATCTAGAAAAAAAGAACATTGGAGAAGGATAAAAAGATTGACCTAAATCAATTAGCTTTTGAATATTACACCGTCATCTGGGGAGGTTTCCCAGTTTAAGGTATTGATGGACCGAAACGTTTGATTTCCCCACGATACTCACAGCCTCTTCATACTTTTGTAGCTCAATCAGTTTTCTTGCTTTCTGAATAAATTCTGCTTGCCTCGGCGCAGTCAGCGCTCTATAAACAGAGGGAAAGCGATAGATCACGCGCCATTGCTGAGGGACAGCCAAATAGACTGGTTGGGATGGTTCGCTGTCATGTGACAGGTGGATGATGCTGTTTGGCCACAACTCTTTGGCATGTAGTGACAAAATGACTGGACATTTTCAAAGAAGTTTTACCTTGAGCAGATTGCTCTCATGACCAAATCCACGCAACGTGTTTTGAGTGTGGCAGTACTAAGCATTGTTGATGGTTTGTGGAAGTGCTTGCTCTGCAGAAGGCCCATAACTATAAAATGCCCAAATTAACACCTCCAGATTATCGTACTTACTGATAAGGAGTAAAGAGACAAGACAAGGTTGTCTCTTTTTTCTGCTTCTTTTTCATCTAAGAAAATAGAAACAAACACACAATTCAAAGGCAATGAAAAATGTAACATTGTCACTTACCTGTTTCTACTACTGTTTACTATTCATCCTATTGAGTGATGTTCTACTGTTTTTTTTTGTTTTTGTGCAAACAAATGCCAGACATGTCATCTACAGCTGATCTTCACACCGCCTCACCTTGAACTGCTCCAATATTTGAATAGCATTAGTGTACATGCACTCTGCTTTGAACAGATCGCTGTTGTTCAGGTATAGTACAGGTAATACACCCTGAGGACACACAAACACAATATCGACCTTTAAAAAAAAAGGAAATCGTTTTGAGCAAACAAACTTTTCAATGATATTCAAATTTGATTTTTCATTCACTGTGTTATAGATAATGTAGCAATACTCACGACAGAGTTGACAGGAATAGGTACGCCAATTAGAGATGCCATGAGAGGAGCAATGTCAGCCTGCAGCGTTTTGAACGGTAAACTTTGAGACATGGTGTAACATTGCTCTACTGCGAGTTATTTCATCGCAGAGATGTGATTTGATTAGAACAGCAAAATCATGAAATTAAGGAGCCACACCTGATTGAGATCAACTCTTCTGAGGTGCTCCAATTTCCAGTCTGGGGTAAAAAGAGAAATCGGGCCACGAATCCATTATATCTCTCAAACAGCAAAACGCATTGTGAACATTTTTGAATAAAATGGTCACCATTAATAGCTTTTTATGAGTGCACCTTGCAAATAGCCGTCCTGGTAAAATTGATCGCCAGTCACTTTGTGTGGTGTCTGTACTCCAGCTCCCCAAGCCACCAAAGGGGTGAGAGTCTCTGAGGGGTGACCAGCACCGTGAGAACCTAGGCACACACGATTGGATTCAAATATGACGTCAAAGCAAATTCATTTTACATTTAGATTTATATGTTTTAGTGTGCTACCCCAATTGGTCATGCCGTGATCAGACGTGAACACGAAAGCTGTTCTGCCATCATAACCGAAGAAGTCTTCAATTACGGACACCAGTTCAGCTACGCCAGAGTCCACTAGGCCAATGTTGTTTTGGTACTCTCTGCATGAAAGACAAATAAAACTTAATGAGTGGATTTTATTTTGAAGACTCTGGAGTATAATTACCAGTATAAGTCAAGAAAAATCCAGAACTGACTGGGACATTGGTCTGTGAGCATGTCCGTTGGTGTCAATACCCAACAGATGCAGAAAGAAGACATTCTGATCCTGCAGCAGGCTGGCCATCAGAGTGGAGTTTGACTTGGCTGATTGAAAAAGTGACTGATAGAGAAGGCAAAAACTGCATCATTTCCTCCCGTCATTCATGTTGCCCGAAAAGAAAACAACACTGAAAATGATTATTTAACATTTGGATATCATGAGTACCAGCTATCGTACTTTGACTTGAGTGAACACCCAGCTGTCTAGCCTGGATGCATCCGTGGAGGCAAAGTCCTGTTCTTCTGCCGGATAGGCGTGGGTGTACACATGGTCTCCACTCGCCCCTGTTAGTAGATGTGTGTGTGTGGGGATGCAACTCAATGAGGTAACCGAAATATTCGAAACACTGTGGCCATACTGTGCAATTGTGCATATCCACTGAAATGAATCATTTGAGCATGTGAGTCGGAACTGAGCTATATATGCTGTCACTCCTGTATTGGATGTCACTGTACTGTGCACAGCCGACTCATGACCTGACAAAGTATGTGCGCTACCTTTTGCGAACATGGCCAGAATATCCGGGCTGCCCCAGCACCAGGTATGCCTGCTCTCATTAAACACAGAGTCAAATTCCACAGGATTCTCCTTCCAACCTGATCCCAGACACACAAAAACATTGGGTATGATTACTCATATACGAGTGCCATTACCACCTACAGTTATATCTGTTTTTGTATTACACTACACACCTCTAGCAACAGAACTAACATCCTCGTAGAAGCCAGCAATAAGAGCAACGTGACCAGGGCGAGACTCCGTGGGAACGCGCGTGTGGGAGACACCCCAGGTACCTCTCTCCTCAATGATAGCCCTGTTCGAAGACAGATAACAGAAGCCTAAGCGTCCCTCAAAAAAGTATTTTTATTTTTTGCTTGCTTCCCAACCTCAAGTAAGGAGCTGTGGATGAGCCGTTCGGGAGCAGGGTGAAAAAGCTGTCTGCTCTCAGGCCGTCAGCCACAATGAGCACCAGTCTGGAGGCAGGTGGAGCCAAAGGTGTGGTCATGGGTGTCATCCCATGGACCAAAGGAGAGGTGAAGTAGATATCAAAGATGGACAGAAAGAAGACGACATGGACAGTCAGTCCCACCACGAAAAAGGTGATCCACCTCATTTTGAGCACTGGCACCAGTACTTTAAGTCTGTAATGCAAAGACAAAGAAGGGAATCAATATACTGTATTTTCGGCCTGACGTTTTACATTCAAAGACAAACGGAGACAATTGTCAACAACAATTTGAACTGCCCGGACCAAAGCAGTGACCTTTTAAAGACTAAGTAATCCTTTATTTTACCATGTAACAGTTGCAAATTAAATAAAGCCCACTAAGACTTACCTGTACACAACATCGGAAGTCCTCGGTAATAAAAAAAGACAGTATGAATGAATGGGAGACACGTATGTCCAAAACCAGTTATACAACTTGTTCGACTTGTTTGAAGATATGATTCTTGTTTACATTATGTTACTCAACGACCACGGACGCATTTCCAAAGATCCAATAAAGTGACCGCTTCACGTTACGGAAAACATCAGCGTGATCCTGAAAAAAAAAACAGCGCTCTTTCCTTTCTAATGAGATTACTGTATGTTTCAGGACTCAGTTCATGCACTTCCTGGTTGTGACAAAAGATTTGTGGGTCCTGTAGTCCTACTTAAATTGCACAATCTGGAGCGCAAAAATTATGTGTATTTTTTAAACATTATATAATCTTGTCGTTAGCATCAGTCACTACTTGGCAAATAAGTTGAAAAATGAGCAAGTCCTGATTTATTTGCAAAAGACTGCACAGGCAGTGCCTAAAATGGGAACGTTGCCCTCACCAAGGTGGCTGTCGCCGGGCACGTCACTTATAGCCAGGCTGCAACAGCGTCGTGGTGCAACTTCCATTAACTTCCGTCCGTTAAGTGCGTGAGGTTGCCACTTTATGAAACTTTATGACCAACCCCAATCAAATGATATTAGGATGAATAGAAATATACTTGAACGAAATATTCTTATTTTGAAAAAAAATGTTGATTAAAATAAAGCACTTAAAGTATTTTTTTTACAAGACAACCACGCTCAGACGATCGTCAAAGGCTTTTTGCTGAAACGTCATGTTTTACTCCTGGTTCCTAATATCAAAAACCACTGTTATGGAACGATACTTTTTATTTTAGTCTGTCAATAATTTGCTGTGGAAAAAGGTCAACAGATGTCACGTGACGTTTGGTATCCTACCAATCCCATCTCAGCTAGCCTTACAACCATTCAGGAAGCAGGTCTGATTAGCTTATTTTAGATAGCTAAAGATTTATACCGTGCAAACATGGCGTCGGTGAACCCGTTTAATCTGAGTGATTCAGAAGAGGAGAGTGAACGGCGACCCAACGAAACAGTTGACACGGAACGCAGCCCGAGTGACGGGGCGCCGGGACCGCCGCCGGGCATCCCCTTTTCCCCGCCCGCGGACGCCGAGCCTCCGACTCTGCTGCTATCCAGCAACCGAACGAGTCCGAACGGCGAAGGCATCTCGGTCCCTTCCGCGGCCACCGCCGTTATGGCTGTCAACGTCGAGTCGCGAGTGTCGGTGGATGTCATCGCCGCTCAGCTATTGCGTGACCAATACATCCTCACGGCCCTGGAGTTTCACACCGAACTGTTGGAATCGGGCAGGGAGCTCCCGAGGTTGAGGGATTATTTCTCCAACCCGGGTAATTTCGAACGTCAGAGCGGCACTCCACCTGCCAAAGATCAGGGAACTGGACCCGGTGGACCTTTGAGTAAGTAGCTGGACGATGCTCGCTCAGTACTTGCCGTTAGCCTCCTGTGTTAAATTCTAAAGCACACCACACCACAAGCTAGCATTTAGCTTTTAATGTCGATCTTGGACCCAGTCTAGCGTGAGATACCCGCTGTCTACACCTGCCCCTGAAAACTGCAGACATACTGAAGCGCACACGGCTATGTAATAATGCAGTACCAAGTGACAAACCCGTGACAACGCCGTGATAATCACCATTTAATCCGCTTTAAACTCTACAAATAAGGCAACATTTTATTTTACTTGGAGACACCGTGAGGTCAGATATCAAGACTTGGACTACAGTGTCAATGTACAACTACAGCACTTGAACCACAGTCTATTGCACAATATAGATGTCACAAAAGTATATTCTGTATACGGAAATGAAGATTTATTGTACACAGTGCAAAATGTAGTTCAGCGATTATTGATTGTTTTAATGGCAGCAAGGTGATACATAAATGTACAGTTATTGTCAGCCTTTGTGAGAACGATAATTGTTCTACCTAGCACTATATGTCGCTGGCATCGATAGATGTTGCTAGACCTGAACCTGTGAGCACAGCAACATAACAAAGCGAAATGGATCTTGAAAATGGTTCTCCACGTGAAGCATTACACCGCGGACGCAGATGGCACTGGGGACACGGACACATCCCCGTCAGTTTCGTTTCCTTTTCGTCAGTGATTTAGATTGTCACTTCTCTCTCTGTCTGTGTTTCTCTTTGGATATAGATCGAGCAGGCAGCATCAGCACCTTGGACTCTCTGGATTTTGCCCGGTACTCCGATGATGGCAATCGAGAATCAGACGAGCGGGTGGCAGGTAAGATGAACCTTTGCTGTCACAACCGGGAGCCAACAGCCACATCTTGAGTCAGGGAAATAAAACCTGATGTGATAGATGGAATGGAAATGGCTTCATCTAATTTTGCATACCTTATGTTGAGGCTAGATAATTAGACATGTTGACTGGGAACGACCAATAGAACCATTTTCCTAGAGAAAGATGAGCCTGTAAGCACGAGGCCTACAGATCAGCAGTTGAAGACTTTCTTTTGCACTGTAACCTAAGTTGCAGTTACACCAAGGTATTGACGCAAAGGTGTAAAGGTACTGAGGCACAAAGTTTGCCAGTCTCAGGAACCTCCCGCCATTTCCTGTCCACCACCTGTCCCGTTTCCACTCTGAGTTAATATCACTTGGCCACCACTTCAGGCATCGAACTCGTCACAGTGAATTCACTGCATCTTCTGCTCCGTTGTTGCCAAATTGTGAAATCAATTTAGACTACTATTGCAAAAAAGCTCCCGAGCATCCTCATTTGCGGATCAACTTCACTTTTATCACCAGTGTCATGAATTATTCATTCGAAAGCAGTTAAAAATGATGTTTTTTTTCTTGTGCTCAGTCGAAGTGTACGTTTTCACTTTATTGAGTCTCGGTGGTATTTTTGGTACAGGAGCTTTGCCTAACTCCCAATGCGGCTCCATCGTGACACTTTCTATCCTCGTGGCTGGTGTAACAGCTGAGTGTGACTCGCAAGCACCAGTGACTGCTTTAAAGCCGAGCTGTGAGAATGCACGCGGCTTGGCGAGGTGCAAATGTTTTGTATGATGGGTGAATCTGTCTTTGGTTCGTAAATAAAAAACGGTAAGCGTCAATATCATTGCATCTGGCGTGATCCAGCCTTGTAATTGTTTTCCATCTAACGGCTGTATTTTGAGGTCATCCTAATGGGTAGTTTGTGCATCGAAGGTTGCAGAATTGTGGATGGAAAGCTGACAGCTCCATGACACAGTTTGAGTGCTTATTAAAAAGCATGCAGCAGAGATGTTTATTTTTGACGGTAATTGGTTGCATTTCCCAAACGGGTTCCACCCATAACGCCCCCAGCCTGTCCCTTCTACTTCCACCTACCCTCTTTGTAAATATGGCCGCCCACAGCTGTCTGACTCGGGCTTCTCGGGCTTTCTCCTGACGTTGATCAAACCCCAGTTGGTCAATACTGGACAAGACCCTCCATCCAAACTCGTTATTTGTTTCATTCTTCCCCCTTCCCATTCCTGTGGATTGAGTTTTGTGTTGAATTTTGATTGCATCCGGTGCACTCATGACCTGCAACGATGGGTCTTCATGAGGGTGTTACATTCATTTGCTTTGTGTAGCAATGACTCAACATCGTATGCTCTGACCACATTATTAGTGACACCTTAACCATCGAGACATCAGATCCAAGACAGAAGCTATTTAAAAAAAAACAAACATCGTTTTTCAAACATATACCTGAGGTGCATTGCTTTTGTAATCTTTTGGATGATGTGAATAAAAAGCACTGTCAACAGATTGTTTCGCGTCGTTGCAGGTGATCAGTGCACCACAATGCATATCAATGCATTTCCACTCCATCACTTAACCTTTGCTGTGTTTTCTCTCTCTCTCTTTTTTCAATCACAACAACTTTGCGTGTTTTCACCTTCCTTCACTGTTTCTTTCTTTCTTTCTATTTTTGTAACTAATGATTGATCCTAATGTATGTATTTCTTCTGGATGAGAAAGACATCAAACGTGCTTTTCCTCTCATTTTTAATTGAAGTCTAACCTTGCCTGTTGATGTCTAAATATATCAGTTAAAAAGTTATGGTCATTTAAAAATGCCTTTTTTTTTTTTGGTTTCTTTTTTTTTTTAAGTTTAGCACTAGTTTATCAGAACATAAGTTCCGGGATCATTTGAGACATTTTTAAATGCCTCCAACCTTTTGGACTGTAGTGCATTTAATGGTGTTCTTGTCAAAAACATGAAATTGTCTGGGTGACCTCTCACTTTTGATGGAGAGTGGAGTCTAATATCATGCTGTAATTGAGCCTTTTGCACGGGAAATCCTTTGTCAGACAGCTGCAACAAATTGAAATGTTAAAATCCCACGAGCTTCACTTTATTAACTGTACTGTACTTTTGTCATTGGTTGAGCAGACTAATGAAAAAAAAAAACAGTTGCCTGGGGGTAAGGGTTTCCACTAATTGACATCAATTTTTGTTTGCTTTATTCCATGATCCTCTGCTGCATGTGTTTCTCAGATCCATGATTTGCATGCACCCTCTTGTGTTGTTTTATTTCTAGACTCTGAATATATTTGCTGTGTTTTTCACTCCCATCTTTGTTTTATTTGTTTGTTCCCTGTCTTTGTTTGGATGCAATACCTGTGTACGCGTGCGTGAACGTGTGCGTGTGTGTGCCCGTGCTGTCACTCTGTCCAGTGCTGGAGTTTGAGCTACGGAAAGCAAAGGAGACCATTCAGGCTCTGCGCGCCAACTTGACTCAGGCAGCAGGTGTGGCGTACTCTAAAATAAACTTTTCCACCCGAGACCCGAGCCCTTCTCTGTCACTTTCTCTGCTTTTCTTCGAGAGAGAATTCCCGAATAATGTTGAGCCTCCATTTGAACTCATCACACCCCCCCGCCTTTTTTTTTTCTTTCCCACAGAGAACGAAGTGCACTCTCAGGAGAGAAAGAACTTCAAATCAAGCCCTGAAATTCAGGTGGGGATCGTTGAATGTTGGCAAGGTTAAAATCTTCTCCTCTCTACCCAGTGATCAAGACATTGCGAATTTGTCTTTAAAGTCTGGTGAACCTCCGCAGCGTTTAATACTGTAGCTTCTTTCCTCTCTGCCTCAGGAGCCGCTACGCCCGCTGGAGAAAAGAGCCTTAAACTTCCTTGTGAATGAGTATCTCTTGAAAAATGAATACAAACTCTCATCCATCACCTTCTCAGACGAAAATGATGATCAGGTACAGCTCTTTCTTGCAGAAAAACATTTGTTACTTAAATCGAAAATACTATTAATATTCTCCAGCCTTCACTAAATACACCTGCTCAATCTAGTGAGATTTTAGTTTTGAGTTGTCTGTTTTTTTTTAAGCTCTCTCTCCACTGGCAACCAGCCCAGTCTATACCTCGCCTCTCGCTCACCGTCAGATGGGATAAACTCCAGCT